ATGTTTGTCTGTGATTTGTGCATATCGAGATCCTCGTGGGTTCCAACACGCTGGACGAGTCACAACCGTGGGCAATGTCTTCACCGCGGGCCGTGAGCTTCACCGCGGGCCGCGAGCTTCACCGCGGGCCGCGAGCTTCACCGCGGGCCTCGAGCTTCTCCGCGGCCGCGGAGGACGTGATTGTAGGAATTATAATAGCAGAATTTTCAGAAAACGAGATCATTATGTTTTAGTTAGGTTTTTGAACATCTCTTCGTACTTTTCACTTGGTCAACTCATATTTCACTTAGCTCTTGACTTGGATTCAATCTTGGAGAGAAAAACTCCGAGATTCGACTTTTGGATTCAGCTTGTTCTTGTTTTCGACATTGGATACATTAATCGTAAGCTTGCATTTCGTTTTCTTTATGATTGTGATGGCTTGGATTGTTGTGTATTTTGGTGTTGAATGCATTATGAGTAGCTAAATTCGTTAGCTAGGGTTAGGGGATTATCGTTTCGGTTCGACTTTGTTCATATGCATGTTAATTGCTCAATCTTTTTTAGTTGTGTTAATTTTAGGGTTAGATGATTGATCACCATCTTAATCTATTTAATCGATTTTAGAACTGAAAGGGGAGAAATCTTTCAATCTAGGCTCGTTAAGAATAAGCTTGTCCGTAATGGTATTGCTTATGTGTTAATTGTTTCAAGAATTACTCATTTATATTATCCTCTTGTTACGAAGAGTTATTGCGGATAGATCTCTAGATGAATAGTTTATCGAGTCAATTAACCAAGTTTTTGATTGCTCGTTAAATGTATTGAGAATGGAAGCGATTGTCCCTAATACCCTAGCCCCTTTATTTATTATTTGAATTTGTGTTCTGAGTTGTGAGTCTTGAATATCTACTTTTGTTTTTATAATTCGTAGTTGATTAAGCAAACCAAATCAATCTGATTAGAGTGTTAAGATTATTTTCCCTTTTGTGATTGAATTTTCGCGCAATTTAATCCGGCCAACTTTTCTTGTGATACGACTCTGGGAACGAATCTCTTGATTCTACTCCGGTAAAAGTACTTACAACAAGAAGGAGTATCCCAATTTCAAAAGGAAGAATAAGACTTACCTAGCAACATGAGATGATGATGAGGAACCAAAACAACAAGACGACAATAATGAACATATCAATAATCTGGTTGTGTGTCCTAGCTTGAACTTCAAGTGTCTCACCTCCTCTCGACACTTCTCAAATGTTGGCACCAAAAAAAAAAAAAAAATTCTTACACAGTTAATGTGGAAAGTGATTCCGATCGCTCAATTGATTTTGTTGATCCAACTATGTTGAATCTCAGAAAAATGCCATGAAGAAATGTCTTGCAACTGTCAGAATGAAGAAATCTCTGACAGAACAAGTGAAAATGTTGGAGATGTTCAAGCATAAATCTGAGGAACATGCCTCTAAATTTACTTATCTAAAATTGAGCTAAAAAAATGGATATGACGATGGCTGACCTCAGTGGTAAACTCATTTGATTCTAATGTTTAGCCCAACAAGAAAGAAAAAGGGTTAGAGGAATCAACATTCAAGCTTGTTTTCATTGCGTGGAACATGGGCGGAAACTGTCCAATCAGGTTGCATTGAAAAGGATAATGTCATAGAATCCTTAAGAACAAAAATGTTTTCATTGCAAGATTCAAGGAGCATAACACATAAATTATTGGCCTTAAGCGTGAATTGTATCGAATCATGAAAAAACATGATAATCTGAGAAGGATCGTGATCAACTACAAAAAGGGTTGCAAACAATGACAATGTTTTCATGATGATCAACAATCCAAAGATCATGTATCATGATCTCAACAAGCGTTTCCACCGAGAAGGTTTGGGTTACAATAATCACTCTACCGATGCTAAGGGTGGGTTTGGTTTCTCATATTGGGCTTGATATCCCTCACATTAGTATTACAACCATAAGATTAACTTATTTGGTTGAGATATCTAAAGCCCTTTAAAAGCACACGTAGC